AAATAGAGACATTTTGAGGCTTATTAGTTATAGTAACCCAATGCATAAATAAATTTATAAGAAAAAATTCTACTCCTTTCAAAGAACCGTCTCCGTCCATATGAAGTGAGAGCTACCTTAACAAGAAACTCCTCCAAATATTATTCTTATAATAAAAAAGAAAAAACTCCACAAAAGGAATTTGAAAGTGAGACTCACACCACATGACTGAAGAAACTTGTACCAGAAACTGTGGGAAAGAGAGATTGAACTAAAGACAGTTCTTATACTCTAAAACTCCTTACGGAGAATGCACACAGAGGTTGTAGGTACATAGATGAATTCCTTCTCTACATTGTATCATTAGAGTTAATCCTCCACCTGGACAACCGTCTTAGGACCTCCCACTTTCAAATGTTCTTCAAAGATAAAAAGAAAATGAACTGGGCAAGAAGATAAGACACCAGATGCCACCAAAACCTATTATCAACTAAATAAGAACGAACTACGAAGAGAAGCCCCCTAAAGAATGTTATGGATATAATCCAGATCATAAACTTCTTTTCAACAGAGATTTCTCCGGAAGTTAAAATCTGCCGCTCAAAATTATAAATTATTACAGAATATCAGATGGAGTTGATAGAGGAAACTTAAATAACCCTTTCAAGGTAAAAAAAAAACACCTTAATGGATTGTACAGTAGATGGATCTATCATGTAGTACACTAATGGTCATATAATAATACGAAAAAAATAAATAGCTGACGGATTCATCATTTGCCGACTTTCAATTAGACTTGAACAGACTTCAGAAGCAGCAAACGGCAGGTGAGAATCGCTTACTAATATTTTCTGAGCCCTTTAATTAACTGAATTCAATTCTTCCAAATGCATGTCAATTGACCAGATAGATGCCGACTCAAAATTCTCGTTTCTACAAAGGCGGTTCAATCGGAAAACAAATACACTGTATCCTCCATTCGATACATAAATAAGTATTTAAAGTCCATTTCGATTCTGTTTAGTTGGTTCTACACATCCATACTAAGGTTTTAAAAAGAAAAAAAAAATTCCATTGCTTCACCCGCTTACGTATCTGAAGATGCTGCAGCCATCCAGAAGTAGATCGTATAATATCGGCAAGAGTTGCAATTAAGAGTGCGAATAGGATGGATAATTTACAAGAATGGAAAAGCGAATACGAGGAGAAGAAGGTACCTCCGGAGAAAGACGCTTGCAGTGGCCGCACCATGGGGCGTAAAAGTCGACCAATATGAAGTCAAATGATGAAATTGCGAGATCGAAATTGGATTCGTCGAGCTCCAACACGTTTCCATCCGCCGTGAGCGGCTGCTCTACGCTCGAGAAAGAAGAGGATGGCAGTCCTAAGATTGAAACAAGGACAATAACCATCACTTGCCATGATCTGTGCATCTTCACAGTGTTCTTCTTGACGATCGCGATCTCTATCGCTCTGCAACTTCCGATTTGGTTTCTTCTTAGTTCTTCTATCTGCAGTTCTTTCTCTGTAGTACCAAATCGCAAGTTTGATTCATTTTCAAGCAGCAGATTTTGTTTCGCAATTTACTTGAAAGTCAGAATTGGCTCCCATGTCAATTTTGTATTTTGTATTTTTAATTTTTTTAAAATTAAGTTTCTATACTCCTCATTTCTTCATTTAATTTTTCACCTTTTAAAAAAAAATTATAAAAACTTATTCCAAATTGAAAACAAAATACATTTTTAAGGTTATTTTTTTCTTTTAATTTAATTTTAGAGATTTCATATAAATTTAAAAAATCATCCATATATAAAGTATAATTTTTGAACCAGAATCCCATGAGCAAAATTATTATTAATGAAGCGATTATTTTATATTAATTATATCAATAAAAAAATTTTTATCTAGGATCATAGACCTTTAGAGTACTTACTTTAAATTTAAATATTTTACTTTTTTTTTTTAACAAACATCTCTAAGATTTTATTTATTTATTTTTTTTGGCCCACTACAATGCAAATTTTTAAAATTTTTTAAAAAGAATTTAACTAGTAGTTCCATAAGTGCAGTGGAACAAGTTTCGATTGAGTTGACAGAGAGATTCAACTCAAACATAATTTAATTGGTCCAAGCAAATATACTCAATTTAAAGTTGGAAGTTGGAATCTCCACATCAAAATTATAATTGTTTGAAAAGAAAAACGATGAAGAGCCAACATTTTTTTTATAAAGAAATAACAACTTTAATTATGTAAAAGTAGTTAAAGAAAAATAAACTAACTAAAAAAACCAAAACACATTTATAGTTCTATGAAACATAAATAATTTTTAAAAGCAACTTCCTCTTTTCATTTTTTTTTCCAAAATCCAACCTACCACAATTACAAAGATTCAAATCTCTGACTTCTAAAAAGATGTACACTAATATGTTCGTGTAAATATTTTTAAAAGTAACTTTCAAATAATTATAGAAAGAGGCAATTAGACTTCTTTAGCACTACACTAACTTTTTCTTTTTGAATTCAAATAAAGATGATGGGTGCATAGATTTCTAGTCTTTAAAAAAAAATTACTAGTTCCTTAACTAATTAAATTAGGTTTATATTGACATTTAATCTCAAATTAGAGCATAATGGCAAAAGATCATAAAAGCAAGACTAAAAGATTGGTAGAAGTGAGTCACTGGAATTATTTGCCTATAGCAAGTGTGAGACTAAGAATCATACAAAAATAAAATTTTACTATATAAAATTCATCAACTAAGTTTCTTACAATGACAGCATTATAAGAAGGATTGATATATATATACATTTTGCAAACTAGAGAACTTGCTTACTAAAATGCGTCCAGCAGAAGCACTTATACCAGGACTTGTGTCCCTCTCTTATATAAGAGGCAAAAGTATATACTCCTTGTAGTTTATGCCTTAAGGTGGTATTGATATGTGGGTGGCCATGTCTGAGCTTCCCATGGCTAGGAAGGTTCGCGAGGTCGAGCGGACCAGAGGGAACTGAGAACGCGGAGACGGTGGAAGTACTCGCCCAGAGCAAGCAAGCCTTGCGCTGCTTGTTTCGTGGTTAGGATGTGAGACATTCTCTTCAAAGTTTCTTGCCTGAGATGGTCTGCCTGTTCGAGAAAATTGTAACAATCACTCGGCTGGACGAGTGAGGGTTCGGGACAAAACAAAAACAATCGTTACACACTCATCATACTCTAGTTTTCAGTAAAGAAACAGAAATGCATACTTCAATAGCACAAGTCATTTGCTCCTTGAGCAGTAGTAGAAAACTAGAGTAAAATATACTTTTAGGCACCGAATTTTAAGATAAGTTTCTATTTAGTCGTTGAGTTTTAAAAACTGACATTTTGGTCCTCGACCTTTAGAAAATAGTTCTAAGAGGTCCTTGGAGTTAACATTCCGTTAGTATCACTACAAAATGCTAATGGGGCTTTGATATTTATTGATTTGATATATTTTTAATTATTTGCCTTTTTTTTTTCATCAAGAGGATTCCAAGAGCAGGATACTTTTATTAAACACGTTGAGGAGTGAATGATTTTGGAGATATGGAATGTACTTAAACACAGTACAGAAATTTTAAAGGACGAAGTATACTGATGAGATCTGTTAGTCAGCATCTAGGATGAAAAATCATGATAAGAAGAATTGGTCTATGGAATATTGCAGCGCTGTTAAGGAAGGTGTTTTACCAAGATGAGCCTATTTGAGTATTCAAGTTTCTCAAGACGTGGAAAACAGACTGTCCTTTCTTAAGTTTTAGAAAATCGTTTGAGATGTGTCCGTGGCGATCCAAAGGACCATCACTCCCTAGCCTCTTGCAGACTGAAATACTTGCAGTATGAAATTCACAACTCTAAAAAGTCACCTTTCGTAATTTATAATCTTTTATGTTCATCATCTTTTATTCTGAAAAAGAGGATAAGATTATACAATTTTTTAGAAGTTGAAGCAGCGGATGAGGTTAGGATTCAAACTTCTGACCAGCTACGAATTCCTTGACCCATTTTTCACGTGTTAGCAAAATCATACAAGTCTATGAAATATGCGAATGTGCGAAAAAAAAGTGGAACAGAAAGGCAATCAACTCCATTGATTGTGAAAGAAAATGCAGACTACAGTACGTTACCTGGCTTATAAAGCTCTTCAGTACTTCTAGTTTCTCCATCCCATCACCCATCTGAGAAATATAGCTTCCTAGAGGATCATTGGCAATGCTGTGGGATAGATTCTGGTGCAGTTTTTCCATTCCCTGTGAAAGGGCATCTTCAGCTTGCCGAGACGATTGCTGCAAATTGTGTATATCGGCTCGTTGTTGTTCGTTTAACGGCTCAAGGTATGCCTTGAGAACCTGTCAGCATATTAGAAAGGCTTTCTTATCATCTAAACTAGGATGCTGATCTATTATTTGGCCATACAATGCAAAAATAAAGGGAGAACGTGCAAGTGTTGGCACATGCACACAACTAACAACAAACCGAGTACTATTAAGAGTTTGATTTTAGCCTGCTTTACAATAGAAGAATATATCAACACTACCGTACTGGGATTAGCATCAGCAATAACTACAAAGTCCATCGAAAGGTTCTTTATGTATAAGATTATATGTTTTAGTAGTGCTATTATTTCCCAAGATTGGTTCTGATACTTCCTCAGGATCCTACTTGGGAATTAAAATAGAAGTGGAGTTCCTATAAGAAAACGTCGGCTCTTCCAAGCTCCGATATAAATAATAACCAACAACAATTAGTATAACCAACATACTTCTAAGTTCTAACCTCATAACAAAACAAAACAGAACACACTTGTAATATAACCAGAAAGAATGAATGCATAAAATGGAATGAGTGGCAAACAATTGTAAAACATCAAGCTAAAAGTGAGGTAAGCTGTTACATTTAGCAGCTCCGATGGGCGAAATCCTCCTATCCAGAGGAAAAAACGCTCTGCCGATGTTCTCCATACCCCGGACATTAAATAGAATACATCAGCCCTTGCAGCATTTTGTTTCATGCAAAATAGATTGTAGTAATGTTTTAAGCTGCTCTCCACCAAAATTTGGAGTTCTATATCGGTTATATGAAGTTGTAATGCCTTTCTGAGTTCGATGATCTGTCTCTGTTGCTCTTCAACCCAGTGATTGTATTCCGTCTCAAATGCAGCAATCCCTGAAAGGCACATAGCAGAAATCTCAGATTGGAACCAGCTCAAAGATTCACTTTCTTCTCTTTCTAGGAGTACGAAATGACTGGTTTTGTCTGTGTTTAAAGAGATAAAGATCTTCTGCAGTTGAAGTGGCAAAGAAAGAAGGTGTGAACTTAGTCAAACTATAGAGAAAAAAGGGAGGCTAAGGTTATGAAGTAAGTTCAGTTGGTTAAAGAAAGGTCGAGTTATGAGGTGAACTTGCACGAGTTGAGACGGGAAATCACAAACCTGGGTTTACCGACCCACCAAATCCCAAGTGGCCAGTATCGATTACGCAGCTTGAGTATACACCCTACAACAAAGAATTTATGTTTAATTGGATAAAAAATAGGCTGTATTAGAAAAGATTGGCTTCAATCTTACCTTTTGCCTGGTTCTCTCTAGCTCCTGCTCCAACTGTGCTAGCTTCAAGCGGCTTGTTTCTAACTGCTGCACATAAACCTGAAAAACAGAACTAAAATGGGATCAATAAGTCCTGAAATCATATATCAGATATCAACAAAACTTGTACAAATCATTATCTTTCAGCACCTTTTTCCTCATACGGCTTTTACGAGCGGCTTCGCGATTTTGTGCTAAACGTCTTTGTACCTGCATATGTGTATTAGACGATGTACACAGAAATTAGTGCAAAGGGAGGAACATGGAACAAATGAGAAGAACAAAGGAAGGAAATGAAGATTGCACAACGGAGAGATGGTTTGTAGTCTCATCACCTTATCGTTGATTGGTTTGTTCATTTCTTGACTGCTCTCGAGATGATCCATTGATTCAGAAGGAATGAACTCCGGCTACAAAGTCAGGAAACAAAAATTACCAGAATCCAACAACAAGAGGAGAACCTTGGAAACTCAGATTTTCTAACAAGAGACAATATAGAGTATTCTCACTTTATTGTCTACACAATCGTCCACTTTTATAATAGGCGATACGCTCGACTCTAGTCGACTACCAAAGGCATTTCCCCATGAGCTGAACTGGTGAAATGGCTCATAGATGCCCATCCTTGAAGCACAGAGTTGAGTTGATGAAGAGCTCATACTCTGTTGACCAATCATAAGAGTAAAATGGACTGGAAAAGATGGAAAAGAGAAGCAAATGTAAGAAATGAAAAAGACAATACATCCATCTCTCAACTTAGAAAAAAGGTATTTCCTACATAATAATTGATATGAGTGAACTACAAATAACAAAAAGATCAAAAGTAAAGAGGAACCGCACAGAAAAAAGGGAGGAAGCAATTAGGTTTACAGCTTATATCCATGGAACTAGTACAAAATATTGATCATTCTAAAGCAACTACTCCTTTTCCAATAGGCTCCTTTCATTCTAAAGCAAAAATAACAGATGGGTTTCTAAGCAGAAAAGATGAGCAAAACAAGCAATCAAATATCAAAACCAACTGCACAGTGTACACAACTTCAAATTCCCATCCCCTTCCAATTCTGAAAAGATATTTATATTGCAAGTGACTCCCATATGTAATAAACTCGCTTGCAATCAAACAAAAGGGCCAAACATGTATTTATATGTAATAGAAAACAGTAAACACAAGAAATTTGGCAGCAGCAAGGGCTGGAATGAAAAGGGATTCCAGAAAAAACCTTAGGAAATTCAAGTCTGAAAAGAAATATTCAAAACAGTTTTGAAGGGCTTGCCAAAACCGGAGGAGAAGAAGAAGAAGAAGAAGAAGAAGAAGAAGAAGAAAGGTTTTGTTTCATGATGAAGCAATTGGAGACACAAACCCACCTGAGTCTGAGTATAATAACAGTAGAAAATGACCACAGAAAGCTCTGAAATAGTGGGCAGATCAAACAAGCTGTGAAAACGATGCCGCCCTCAAAATATAATAAAATAAAAAGAAAATGCAGTTCCTCGCTCATTCACTTCCCTGTGAGTTGGAAAGAAACACAAAGAAAGAGAAAGCAACTCAACAATGGGAAAAAAAGATACAGAACCTAACTTATATATACAAGTTTATTTTTAACTTTTCCTTCTCCTCTTTCCCTCTCTCTCTCCCCTCTTCTTTTTGCCCCTTTTTTCCTTTGTATTTTTGCTCTATATGCTACAGTCATTCAGCTGTTAACGTCCCCATGACCTCACTTCCCACCATGGGAGGGGGAAGCTGCCGTGCCAACACAACTACGCCGATTCTTTTTTGCCCTTTTCTCGAAGGATAAAAAAGGGGAGAAAGAAAAAAAAAATAAAACCCAATAATTCTGGCTTCAAACTGCGCCGCTTTCGTACCATACTCCTCTCTTTCCGGCGACGTCGCCATTTCCGGCGGACCGCCATGAACCTGCAGTTTCGAGGTTGATTTCTACGGCCGAACCTGCAATTAGCTTTTTGAAAAATAAACTTCAAAAACCGCCCGTGGTGGAGCCCTTCTTATATTGGGCCGTGCCTATTCGGCTATGAAATTTGGGTCGTTTTTAACCCTAGGCTCAGATTTCTGCAACATCAAATGAACCATCCATTTCCGCCATAGATTGGAAGCTTTTGAAGCTGCTCACACAAATTCTTCAATGCCCCAGCTCTTCTATTGTGGATCAAAACAGACTCAGTAACAAGATTTCTCCTAACTTCCAAATCAACTGTTGATTAAAGCTTCTAAGATCAGCTCATTCAAAATTGCCGGTATATGTTATAACTTAGAAGCTGCCAACAAACAATCGTGCCTCCAACTGCCAAAAAGGAGAGTAGCTAGCTTTATATATGTGCGGAGGAATTAAGAAATATATTATATTAACAAGAAAGCTACGTAAATTAATAAAGTAAATTAGACTTTGCTGATTAAGCATGTAGTTTTAATTTAACTTCCATTTAATTTTCTCCTAGGCCGCCATTGATGAGCAGCAGGAGAAAACCCAAGAGAGATCGGTAAACTGTTTAAAGCTTCCATAGCCAATTTCAACCCCAAAGTTAAACGACAGATTAATTATGGGGTTTGAATCTTTTGATCAACTGCTGAAAGAAGAAAAAATGTCTAATCGATCTGTTCCTTCACTGCGGCACACCAATCTGATGATGTAATATTCTTAAACGAATGAATATTGTCAGATTAATTAAATTTTCCATCTTAGAGAGAGAGAGAGAGGTTAAAAGATACCTCCATGTTTGACTGTCAATTTCATCCCAAATCAATCCCATCATTCGGTTCCATTTCTAAGTATCGATCTTAAACACGTCTATTGAACTACATAAAAGCTAGAGTTCATTCACTAATTAGATACTCCATTTCTTTATTTTTAAACTTCAAGAACAAATACTCTACGTCATTTAATTATTCAATTGTTCCCAATAATAAATTTAGTTCAGAGTTTATAATAAATTTAAAAAAATTTATATAGTTTACAGAAAATCCTATTACCGTTCTTTTCAGTCAAAAGCCAAGTTTAATCTTCACCGAAAAATTTTTAATCTTGTATCTAATGCGTCATTTTGTTATTTAAAGTCTCAATCAATGGGGATTCTTTTTTCTTTTTTCCTTTTTCTTTTTTAATAAATATCATGAAGCAGTATTTTTCAAAAAGCAAACATTGATTGATTAAGAGAAATAAGAGAGGATGATGACATATAAAGAAGATGCTAAAATAAATATAAAAAAAAGCTTCTTTGTGCATTTATTGGTTAAAAGAGCATTTCTCCATCTATATTTGGACTGACCTGCCCACCATCCTATCTTTTTTTTTTCCTTTTCTTTTCTTTTCTTTTTCTTTTTTTCCCCCTTATCTCTTGTTTCTTTCTTTCTTTCTTTCTTTTCAAGTGCAATTCTAATTAGTAAACAATTAAAAATAAGTGAAAGGAAAAAGAAAAAGAGCCATTTCTTCAAGTGCCAGAAATGTAGATATAAATATGCCAACTTGTACATAAAAAATGTGGCAAATACTAACATACTTGGAAAGATTAATGTGATATCCATTTAATGCAAAGGATAATTCAGCTACTTAAATATATATATATATATATAGCCCATTTTAGTATTTTACCTATTTTGTTTCAACCTTGCATCATCACTGAATAATTGAATAAATTTAGGAGTTGATAGGATGTGGAAAGTTATAGAATGAACTAGGCATTTTTTTTTTTTTTGGAAATAGGCAAAATTTATCAGATAGATATATTGATGACCTGTCAAAATAGAATCATAATCCAAGCTTAGAGGTGGTTAAAAAAAATTAAGTTTAGAACGAATATAATTAGTTGCCAATTGCATTCTGAGTATTAGAATTAAATTTATAATTTAAAATAATAATAATGCTTCACTTGTTTTACAAATTGGCAAATCACACCCAACAGACACGTATTACATAAATTCAAATTTATAACTTTTTATTATAATTTTTTTAATTTTAAAATTCGTGGAAAAATATTACTACAAAATCTAAAATTACGTAAATTTAGATTTATAATTTTTTATTATACATTATAACATTTTTTTAATTTTAAAACTCAGAGAAAAATATTACTACAAAATCTAAAATTTCCTAAATTCAATTTTATAATTATAATTTTTTTTTAATTTTATAACTCGTAGAAAAATATTACTACAAAGTCTAAAATTTAGTATGTTTGGCATGCATATATCCTCTCTCTAAAATTGCAGTTATTATAAAATCTTGATTTATTTAATAACGGTTAAAATTTTATTCGTGTGAAATGTTTATTATATAATATTTTAAGTGTTTTTATACTTTTTATAATTTTTGAAAGAATATTGAAAATCTTAAAAACATTTTTAATTCTTTAAAATTTGAATGGAATCAAATATTTATTGCCTTAGACATATAATTATACCTTCCACGTGGTCATCCCTCGAGAGACCATGTAGGCTAGGTTCCGTCCAATCATAGTAAGCCCGCATAGCTGGCATCCAGATACAGCAACTTGTGTTACAACCTACGGCTCTGTAGTCAGTGGTATGAACCAGTATCAAAGGATACGTCTTCAAGCATTTCCCTAGTATACTTTCACAATGGTACACTAATTTCTAACACACAAAATAGTCTTGCTCCTACTCGCTTCACTACGATCCAAGCATTTAGGCATCGGAAAGCATTAGATTTAGCACTATAACGATATTGAATCTAATTTTGCAAGTAACTCTAGAGACGGGATAGATCGTTGCAACCCTAATTCACCAATTCAATTCGATTAGATTTCAACATCAGCGTATAGTAAAAACTATTCTTTTAACTATTTATTAATATTTCAAAAGACATGATAAACACAAACTTTATTATTTAAAAAAAAAGACATTAAATAGGGAAAGAATCGAATATAAATGAAGAGGGTTTTGAGAATTGATGAGCTTCAAATTTCGACTGCACCACACAATTGGTAAAAGAGAGATTCGGAAGTAAATATATCATTCATAATATCGGTTGGAGAGAGAGAGATTACGTCAAAGAAAATTTGGAGACGTCAACTTTCCGGGAAAAGAAAATGAAAGAAAGCAAGCTTCTTTAGCTTTTATTTGTTTGGGATATTTGGCCTTTTCATTGCCACCTCAATAATAATAATAATAACAATAATAACAATAATAATGCACCCCCTTTAAAA